TTTTAAAGATTGAATGGAAAACAAAACAATATAAAAAAAATTATCACTTTCACTTATCATTTAATAATAAAATTATCACTAATACAATTTAACAAGATACCATGTTACCATAATTTTGTAGTACAAACAACGATCTATAGTAGTGGTGTATACTACGGTTATCTACTGTAGAGAACCGATCTGTGTATACCGAGATTATGAAACCTCGATATTGATAACAATTTCACCCATAGGATATATACGTTATATTAGGATTTTATATTTTAAAGTTTTAACAACAGCTGTAGATCTACAGCCGTTCTTTAAACTAAAATACAAATTGATGTTAGTAGTATACTAGTATGATAAATCATCTAACAAAAGTTCAGGTGTTGCTAAAGCATACCCAGCACGCCTATGAAACCATCTCCGCTCAGTATCGTTTTTCTTATACAATGATGATATTATTATAAGTTTGAATTCAAGTTTAATACAATCCATTATACATTGACTCACTTGTATCCTACTGTAGAGCAGAGCGACATCCACTTACTCGATTTTTATTTAATACTCAGTCTATTAAGTATTAATAATTCAATAACTCAAGAAATAATCGTTGTTCAGACAATACTATGGTCTTAATTTATATTAATAAAACATCTAAAGTTCGGTTTGTACAGTCGATCCACCTCTAGTATTTTACTATAACATTGATGAGACAGGAATGATCAAAATGTGATATTCCTAGTATTTTGGTTATAGTTTCTCATTTTAAAATATATGCCAGTTTGAATTTTGATTATAAATATTAATATTGATTTTTTATGTAAGGCTATTTACTCTATTCAGAATAAAAACAGACCACCTTCACTCTTCACAACTAAGCTTTCGGCATAACTCTTGAATCAGTCTGAAATGATCGTGTAATGAAGTAGAAACGACAAGTAGTTCTTACATGCGTTGGTCTGAACTGCGTATAGGCAGCAGTACACGGAAAAAATATTCAAATGTTTATATTTTAATTAATGTATCTATACAGATAACCCTTTAGAATAGTTGGGAGTACTAAATGAAGAATGTTGGAAAGATTGTGTTGCGACAACATAAATATTATGGTTATCCTAGCATAATAATTATGTTAGTTCTATTATTTTAAAGGGCCTCATATAGTGGTGTCTAACCATACAAAATAGTCACAGCAACAATGTATTATGTTTTTCCTAACATAATAATTAGATTAGTTCTATTATTTTATAGGGCCTCATATAGTGAATCCAACCATCTTAAATAGTTACTGCAGCAATGCATTATGGTATGCATTATATTTCAAACTTATTGTACAATACAAGATTTTTTCCTGGATTTATTCCTTCAAAATCCAATTCAATCTATAATTGTATGTAGGTACTTAATTAATGTACAATATTATAATGTAAATAGGCCATTAGGTAGGTACCCTAAACAAACAATATTATTAAGATTATGTATACTTTTATTCATATTTTATTGTAACCAAAGTGAACCCAAGTGAACTTTTAAGTGCAGGATAATCAGCAGTTAGGTATGAATTGATTTTTTTTTTTCGTTAACCAAAGAATTAAATCTTGTTTGAAAAGCATTTTTTCATTTTGTATTCACTAGGTCCCATGGAGCAGTATACATAGTACCACAATAATATATCTTTTTCAAATAGTCAATAATCAATAACAAAAAATAAAAACAAATATTCAGGAAGTTTAATTAGTAAGCAAATAAAATATGATTTTTAACTTCAAAAAATGGTAAATAATTATTTCATTAAGTACCTAAATCATAATTATACAAGTATGGATACCTTTATTATTTATGACTAATTGTTCTTTGCCTATTGTATCCAATTAATTTCTTATACCAACGGATTGCTTCGTGCTATTTCTGATTTCCTTTAGCATATTACAGTATTTATCCCATAATTTCCCACGAGCAGAAGTAAGTTTATTTGATAATTTTTTGTAGAGGGTGTAATATGTTTCTTTACTTTCATTAGGGAAGAGGAATGGTTTAGCATGATTTAACTTCTTTAATGAATCTATGGACATTTTTTTCTGTATTTTTGTTAAAATAATGGTTAATTAGTAAATTACTTGATTTATTTCTCATGGGCCTATTAAGTTGCATGAACCAAATAATGACAACCATTTTATATGGCTGTTTGAACACTTTATTATGGTTAGATATTTTTTGTCTTACCATACATAATTGTTGCACTAACCATAATAAGGCAACAATTTACTCTTAGCACTCCCAACCAATAGGTTATGGACTGTTTAACAATGTATGATGTTTGGCCACCTACAATAATATTCCAACTATTTACTATAACAAAATTAATTTTTTCCGTGTAGTGAGGATAGTTGTGTGAATATCATTGATTGGCTTCCAACTGCCTGGCCTGTTCTTATTTTGAATAGAGTATAGTATTACCTAAGAATATGTGCTAGTTTAAAGTTTATAATTTCAATATTTTTTTATTTAAAGATATGGATAATTATAATTTTAGGACCTTACGAGGACTACAGTAGGATTCCTATACCATTCTCGTAATATTAGTGAAACAGATACGCCGTTAACACTAGGGATGGAAAATGATGATAACATATACGTATATTATACACCAGTACCACCATTACCACCAGTACCACCTGTACCACCAGTCATTCAACGCCAATCAATTATACATCAACAGGTTGAAGAATGAACTATACTAACCAGATAAAATAATTATGTGAACAGATTTAATGAATTCTTTATATTATGTAAACCAGTGTTCTTAAATACTTAAATATTTCTTAACGGAACACCATACAATAATATTTTTTTATGCGGAAACCCTAAGAAAATTATTTTCAGGTACACAAAACATGCCGATAAGCGCCAACTAAACTATAAACTAAACTACTAAATACTGCAAAATGCCTTACTGTAATTATTGACCATTATGTTTTATTAAAATATAATAATATAGATTTTTTCAAAGTGATTTCTTTGGATATTTTGGAAATTAATTTGAGTTTTACGGAAGCCTTAAGTGATCTCCGCGGAACACTGTTTAAGAAACACTGATGTAAACAATTTAATTCATGCCATTTTTATTTTCATATTTCTCTACCTTAAAATGAAGTTTTGATATTATCAATGCAATTTTTTAGTTTGTTTTATTATTTTAAATGATTCATTAAAATGTGTAAATGCTACTAAAATGATTGTGATTATTAAAATTATGTATTCAATCTGATCCTTGAAAGGTGTTCCTTATATTGCATATTTGCATACTTTAAGCTATGTTTAACAGGGACATCATTCACACAAAGGAAATAAAAATCTTCACAATAGTCTTCAGTACATAAATATTTATGTTTTTTTAAATCCTAAAATATAATTAAAACAATTTAAAATAAAATAAAAAAGTAAAATAAAAATGTTTTAATTTTAAGTCTTTTAACCCAATTTTTTAACAAAACTTTATTTTCTATTATTAAGAGAATTTACTGGCATCTATTATTTCTGTTTAATGGTAAATATTCTGTATGATTAAATTAACTCGGTTTAGGTTGAATGGAGAAAATCAATGTACACTGTCTCTTATAAATTTATTGCTATCAGCCTACTATTATAAATAAGACAATTTTAAATAATATATAATAAATTGGGGGCAAAACGGGTGCTGGCCAGCTGACGGATATAAAAAAAAAACACTAATGAAACAATAACACACAAATATTACATATATAAATCAGGTAATCCGTAGTCATGCGGTGAGGTGGTCCGGTGGAACAGTATATTTTCGCCCAATTAGATTTTCCCCAGATAAATTTTCTCTACCTATATCAAATTAATATATTTACATAATTAAAATGTTTTGATATAAATTAATCTTTTACTTTAACTTAATTAGGAAATGGTGCATTTTCAAAATCCACTCCCCCCCAAGATTGTAATTATCAAATAAAGAATTTGTCGAAAAAATTAAATGTAAATTTCGTATAGAAGCGTTCCTTAACTGCGATAAAGACATTTATCCAAATATTAAACTTCTCTTAAAAATATTTGTGACATTGCCTGTGTCAACTGCAACTCCTGAGAGAAGTTTTTCTAGTCTAAAAAGGCTTAATACGCATCTAAGTAATACAATGAATGAGGTAAGAAACGAAGAACGTTAGACGTTAAGTTCTTAGAATTTGGTTTTGGACTTATAAGTAATTAAAAAATTTCCAGACAAGGCTAAATGGATTGTCATTACTATCAGTTCATAGAAATATTGATTTATCCCCGGAAGAAGTCAACAACACTGTCTACAACATCTAGAAAACTAGATTTTGTTTTGTAAAATAAAAATAAAAAATTGTAGTAAAAATGTAGTTTTATATTTAATTATTCAAACTTAGGGGGTGAGGGGGGCGGAGCCCCCCTAGAGTTGATAAGTACTGGATAAAATCATATCCCCCCCCCATGACAAAATCCTAAATACGCCACTGCCCTGATTATGTCCATGAACATGTATGATAGCTGTGTATACTTCACGTCCTAAATCAACATTCATAATTTAATTTCACAGGATCAGGATGTAAATGTTCTTCTTCGTATTTTTTTAAAAGCATAGTGAGCATTCTCTTGACATGTCGTTGACAATGTTAATGATCAACCCTAAACCGCGATTATACATAACAAAAACTTGTTGAGGTAGCTACTGTTAGTGAATGGGCCATCCATTGAGATATTGTTTACATCACTTTTAGTGTAATTATAACAATTATTCTTATTGTTTCTTCGTTTAAGATGTAACTAAAAACAGACTGCAAATATTATTTTGAATCTAAAAAGGCTACATAATAATCTTTACATATTATTATATTTTAAAAATGATAAAATGTATTTATTTTTATTATGTGATAATCATAACTATTTATAACTATACAATTAGGTACTTAATATAAACTATTAATCACATTTTTATTATTTATTATATTTTTTTAGTGTCTATGATGGCCAACAATGATTATAAACATATGCTGGAGAGCTTCCGGACTATCGACTTAAAAACATTATTGGGAACTTTTGGTCAAAGTATAGTAGGAAAAAAATCTGAATTAAAATATCGGGCAATTGAATTATTAAGAAGTAGATCAGCTGGCTTTAACCAAGCGGACTATGTATCAAAAATACATGAAATATATTGTTGCTTTGGAACATTTATGCCTAAAAATGATGCTATTATGAATCACAACTTATTACAAACTCAACAGAGACAAATGATGGGGCAGATACAGGCCCCACAACAAGGAATTTACCAACCTGCCCCACAATATAATCAACTTCCAATGCATATGACCCGAGGTGGATTATCACAGGTTGTGCCCCAAACTGAAAGAAACATTTATAGTAATTCCATTGGAATATAGATAACAAATTTATGTCAAGCAGTTGTCAGCCTTCCGGACCTCGATTTATTACGTCATCGCATTTGCCCTCGAGTCAACAAATGCATGTGGCGTCACAAGTTCCATTATCATATGATATGTAAGGAATGACAGTTGGAAATAATTGTGGCTGTGGGGTAACAGACAGTTGGAAATAATTCTTATACTATATTTCCTGAAACTGTTGCCCAAATCAAGTTCAAAAAATTACCGCTTTATGAGGTACTTGCCGTAGTTCTTAAGCCAACTTTTCTAGCTGGCACGGACAGATGTACATTAAAAAACTTTCCTAAAGGTCGCTATATATTTTATTGTTTATCTTATGTGAATTATATTTATAATAAGTATCTTATTAATACAAAAATACAGACGATCTCCAAGTCCTATAAATTGCACTCAACTAGTCAAACTTTCTCCAAACACTGCCAACCTGATAAATACAAATTGGATTCCCGATGGAAGAAATTACGTTATAGCTATGTATCTTGTAAAAAATAAAGTAGGTTGAAGTTCAGAAGAGACCAAAAACTATATAATTGAAAAGTTAACAGATGTCGATCCAGATTTTTCCACTACATCTTATAGATTTTCCTTGGTGTATCCATTGGGTGAAATTAGAATGAACATACCTGCAAAATCTATCCATTGCGATCATTTACAATGTTTTGATGCGAGTTCATTTTTTTTTAATGAATGAAAAAAAGCCAACATGAGTGTGCCCAATATGTAATAAACCTTGTTTGTATGATGACATACAAGTATAAAATTATTTTTTGGAAGTTCCTTCAAGTCAATATTCGGAGACAACTGTAAGGAAATTGAATTGTTGACTGATGGCACATGGATTGTTTATGAAGAAAAAACCATAAATAGCACTCTTAAACATAATGATTCTGTGAATTTATATAGTGACGAAGAAAAATCTGTTGATATAACAGTAAAACTTAACTCTGAAACTGTCACACCCCCATTTGTTGATTTGACTTTCAGTGATGGTGAAGAAGAACCACCAAAAAAAATATGATATGCAAGGAATGACAGTTGGAAATAATTCTTATACTCCATCTCCTGAAACTGTTGCCCAAATCAAGTTCAAAAAATTACCGTTTTATGAGGTACTTAACGTAGTTCATAAGCCAACTTTTCTAGCTGGCACGGACAGATGTACATTAAAAAACTTTCCTAAAGGTATCTATATATTTTATTGTTTATCTTAAGTGTATTATATTTATAATAATTATCTTATTTATTTAGGTACGAAAGAATGGCAAGAAAAATGAAAATCAAGATAATCAAGAAAATGAGGGACAGGCCGCTGATGCTATACAACCAGTTGCTGTAGTTGGTTTAAAACCACTAGCTCATGTACAGCTGCAACAAGCTGTTACTAGTTCTGAGCAAGGAGAATTAATTGACTTCCATTTACAGTAGACAGTCCTCCCCTCCTTCAAGTCCTATCACTACAACTAAGGCGATAGGTAGTTAAATAGTTCAACAGGTAGAATATTAAGTATTTTTTATGATCAAATTTAATATTATTCCATGACATTTAAGTTCTATATGTTTATCATCATACAATAATATATTATTTGTAACAATTACCTAGATTTCTTATACTGTGTTATCTTCTGTAAGAAAAGAGTGAAAAATGTTATTGTATACATGTGGCTACTGGCTTGACAAACTGTAGAATAATATTGTACGACATTTTAATTGAATTAAATCAATATTATTTTTATTTTAATTAAGAAAATTTTTTCCCAGAGACACATCTTGACTCATGGCAACAATATTGATGGCCTCGAGTGGCACAAAAAGTTTGAATTGCCATTATTTCGTACCTAAATAAATAAGATACTTATTATAAATATAATTCACTTAAGATAAACAATAAAATATATAGCTACCTTTAGGAAAGTTTTTTTAATGTACATCTGTCCGTGCCAGCTAGAAAAGTTAAGAACTACGTCAAATAAAACGTTCCTCATAAAACGGTAATTTTTCGAACTTGATATGGGCAAGAGTTTCAGGAGATGGAGTATAAGAATTATTTCCAACTGTCATTCCTTGCATATCATATTTTTTTTGGTGGTTCTTCTTCACCATCACTGAAAGTCAAATCAACAAATGGGGGTGTGACAGTTTCAGAGTTAGGTTTTACTGTTATATCAAGAGATTTTTCATCGTCACTATCCAAATTCACAGAATCATTATTTTTAAGAGTGCTATTTGTGGTTTTTTCTTCATAAACAATCCATGTGCCATCAGTCAACAATTCAATTTCCTTACAGTTGTCTCCGAATATTGACTTGAAGGAAATTCCAAAAAAATATTTTCTATTTGTATGTCATCATACAAACAAGGTTTATTATATATTGAGCACACTCATGTTGGCTTTTTTTCATTCATTAAAAAAAAAATGAACTCGCATCAAAACATTGTAATTGAGCGCAATGGATAGATTTAGCAGGTATATTCATTCTAATTTTACCCAATGGACACACCAAGGAAAATCTATAAGATGTAGTGGAAAAATCTGGATCGACATCTGTTAACTTTTCAATTATATAGTTTTTGGTCTCTTCTGAACTTCTACCTCCTTTATCTTTTTACAAGATACATAGCCATAACGTAATTTCTTCCATCGGGAATCCAATTTGTATTTATCAGGTTGGCAGTGTTTGGAGAAAGTTTGACTAGTTGAGTGCAATTTATAGGACTTGGAGATCGTCTGTATTTTTGTACTAATAAGATACTTATTATAAATATAATTCACATAAGATAAACAATAAAATATATAGCTACCTTTAGGAAAGTTTTTTAATGTACATCTGTCCGTGCCAGCTAGAAAAGTTGGCTTAAGAACTACGTCAAGTACCTCATAAAACGGTAAATTTTTGAACTTGATTTGGGCAACAGTTTCAGGAGATGGAGTATAAGAATTATTTCCAACTGTCTGTTGCCCCACAGCCTGTATCTGCCCCATCATTTGTCTCTGTTGAGTTTGTAATAAGTTGTGATTCATAATAGCATCATTTTTAGGCATAAATGTTCCAAAGCAAAAATATATTTCATGTATTTTTGATACATATTCCGCTTGGTTAAAGCCAGCTGATCTACTTCTTATTATTCAATTGCCTGATCTTTTAATTCAGATTTTTTTCCTACTATACTTTGACCAAAAGTTCCCAATAATGTTTTTAAGTCGATAGTCCGTAAGCTCTCCAGCATATTTTTTTAATCATTGTTGGCCATCATAGACACTAAAAAAATGTAATAAATAATAAAAATGTAATTAATAATTTATATTAAGTAATTGTATAGTTATAAATAGTTTCGATTATCACATAATAAAAATAAATACATTTTATCATTTTTAAAATATAATAATATGTAAAGATTATTATGTAACCTTTTTAGATTCAAAATAAATTTAAATTGTAAATTTAAAATAAATATGGATTATTTGTGTTTATTTCAGTGTTATTATCTAAGTATGTAATATTTTTAAATATTAAATGCCAAATTCACACGAGTGTATGAACTAGGTATTATTATTTATTATTAATGATCATCGATGTAACATAATTATATTATTTAATATTTTTGTTCATGCACTGTTAGTTATTACCACAATTTTCAGTGATTACAAATCGTGGTTATAACTAGTTATTAGTTTGACTTTCTGTCGATCACAAATTGTGGATATACTTTGAATTTACTTTAAGTTGGTGATACTATTTCGTACTGCATACTTCATTGTACAATATAAATATAATTTTATTATTATGAAATTGCTGCATTCAATGTGCACTCATAATCATTTATGTTATTTTTACTGATGTAAATTAGAGTTAATTGATAATTGCCATTGGAATGAATGTCTCCCATAATTTACAATTTATTAATATACTTATTATTTATATTTATAAAGTATTATTAGTAAGTAACTGTTATCTCATCATTTATACCATTTAAGTACCAACTTTTTTTTTTAATTTTTTTTTTTATTAGGTACCTTTTTATGTTCATATTATATTATAAATAATATATAAGTAGTTACAAAGTATAACTGTGTTTTTTTTTGTAAGTTAAAATTTTACTTTTATTTCAACTTTAAAAATACGACAATTTATTTGCAATATAAAAAGTTACTTAGCAGCTAATAGCAGTGATTTATTATTTTATCCTTATGTAGGTATGTATAATATCTATTTAAACTAGTTTTCTAGGTATGTTGCCCATTACAAAGCACATCATAATTTATTTATGTTGGTTGTAAAAATAGTAGAATCATTGGCCTATTGTGTGTAATTATAATTATTGTATACAAATTTATCTTAATTTTATCTAGATCGAATTTGAATTAAAGAGAGGTGAAAAAATGTATGTATATTTATTGTACATTCATATTAAAGTTTAGTTAGGGTAGGTAGGGTATGATAAAATTTATAAAGTTTTATAAGAGTTTTTCGAATGATTGATGTTTGAATTATCGAGTGACTACTGCATAGAGTTCAGCTGTATTTCTATTTTACAGTCATGTTTTCTGGGATCGATAGAATAGTTAGTTGTAGTTAGTTGTATGTACTATGTAAGTATGTAACCCACCTTCTGATTTAAAAATTATCTACTATTTACGAAAAACCTCATGTAAATCGAGTCTGTAATGAAAATTAAAAAAAATTAAGAAACAATTATAAAATAACATCCATTCTAAAGAATGTAACTGGCTATAAAGAAATATACTTCGATTGGTTCTTAAATCTTGCATTATTTTTAATGGCTTCAAAAGTTTGTACGCCATACTATGAGGAGGATTTATAAAGAATTTAAATCAAAAATGTTTAATGTAAAAATGAAGATTCTAACATAAATAGCAATGGAATTATACTTAAATGAAAAATATAAAGCGGAGGGTAATCTTTTAATATGTAGTGTAGATAAGCATATAAAACATATCTGTGTTGTTCCGACTTGAT